ATGTGAGCCAAGTTCACTTGAGTACAAGTTGTATACAGTCACAAGGGCAAGGTCATATGAACTTAGGCTGCATACAGTCACAAGGACAACTCTTGCTTAGAAGCACCACTCTGAATAATAGTGGGTAAGACGACGAGTCATCTAAAGTAAACCCACTTTTATAACACACCAAGGAGGGCTGGAAAGTACATTCTGCAAACAAACCTATGTTACGGAGGAACAGAGGTTATAAGACATTTGCCTTTTTTACTTGGAGTTTACTCACAAGCTCAGAACTCTCCTCAGACAGCTTGATCATGGATCATGTTCTTACACCAGATCAACTTTCCTGCTCAGAAAATAGGTCTGCATAGTTGGGGGTAAAAAGAAGACATGACCCTAAAAACAAGTAAGCATATCTATAATATATATCTGTATTCCAAATGTGGAACATGTTCTTTTCAATTTTGACACCAAGAAGAAGATGCTTCTACCCCATTTCCCTACCCATACGATTGGAGGTATAATATCTACCATACATTATTACATTATTTTAAAAAATAAATGAGTTAAGATGCCTGTTATGAGTGCTATATTCCCTCAAACAGCATAGCTACATTACAACAATATTTAATGACACAGGGATAGACGAACAGAAAGGCCAAATCAAGATATATATCTTTTACAAGCAGAAAGACCGTAATGTGGGAAGGGAAAGCCATACATTCCTAAACTATAAATCTTCAAGGAAAAAAATGTGCCTGTATATGTTGCCACAAATTATTAAACCCAAAGCAATATCAGCAGATAGACACGAAACAAAACAGGAGACATTCTTCCATGTTTATTGAACCATGGTTCTGAAGCAGATTCAAATCACATTGACTTTGTGATCAACACTGAATCCACTAAGTTCTTAAAATAAAAAGACCTATTTTGTTATTTAATTTCATGATAAAATGAGCACTGAACTTAAACTAACTAGAAACTTTGTGGTGTCTATCACATTGAACATAAACATTTATGCATCACGAGTGTCATTTTGTGGTGAATCAAATTTTGCTGGTGATATAACAAATGATGTATTTTTAGATGCCCTGGACAGACAATACTTTTCCAAGAAGACATGAGTACTTAATAGAAATCTAGTTCCAAGCACAAGATACCTCCCTATGACTTAGTACTCTGGGAATCATAATACTACCTAAGTCATTGATCGGGAAGAGATAAAGAGCTATAGACAAAATGCTCCAAACAGTGCTCAACAAAAAAGCTAGAGCCCAATATATGCTGGGAATCAGTGCTTACAAGTATATTGTGAAGCCACACTGTGACCCCCTCTACCCAAGAGACTAAAGAAAGAAGGAAGATCACAAGCTAAAGGACAGCCTTGACAACTTAGACCCAATGTCAGAATAAAAAAGAAAAAAAGGGAGGGGGAGGGGGTCCTGGAAATGCAAAGTCCATGGTAGACTACTTGCCTAACATTTTCAAGGCCACGGTTGCTTGGATTCAATCCCAAGTACAAAATAAATGAAATAAACCACATAAGAACTTTGACCATTTATTAAAAGTGATTGTTAATTTTACGCAACTATTTGATGGAGAAAGGGCTGTCCAAATAGCTGGTGAGCTCTGATTGTATCTGTGAGAGAACTGGAGTTTCTGGGAGAGGTCAGCATTTTAATGTGCATACAAAACAAAGAACTGATCCTCATCAACATGGGGAGAGGAGCATTCATTTGATCCAGGGTCTGGCTAGAACAAGAAAACAAGAGACAGAAGGAAGAATTCTCCTCCCTCTTTGAAGCTGAAACATCCATATTCTACATTTGGTCTCAGTTTTAGTCCAAACAATAAAGGATATTCTAGTTCTCTGATCGTTGGGGTTTGATGGAAACAATACAGAAGACTTTCTTGGGCCTCAAGCTTGCAGATGGTCATGGATAGAAAAACAGGGAAGACATGAAAAGGGAGAAGAGTACCTCAGGACTCTGCTTGAAGACTCAAGCAGGTGGGAATCAAGCATTCCAACACAGCTAATGTCATGTACTATGAAGGTTGTTAATGTGGAGATAATATTCATTTTATACAGATACTTAAGAATATTAAAACAGCAATGAAACATGCTTCAGGCACAAATATATACACCCCTGAATATTGCTTTATTCCTCTCCCAGATATTATCTGGGAGTCTCACAAGCAAGACCATTAACTTTTGTTGACAGAGGAAACATCTTAACTTCCCATGCAGTTCTTGTGATCTTGGGTTTTATGGTACCAAATGGAATTTGTCCTCTATCCTTTTGTCTGCACATCTCAGGAACCACCCAATGATCTCATTTAGATTCCTTAGCAATTCTGGGAAGATGGAACGTCAGAACCCATTGACATCAAATACATGAGAAGCCCACACCCACACTTGGCTTGTGTACTCTTTCCCTGAGTACTTTTTTTTTTTCTAACCTATTACTGAGTAAAACACTTACTAAACTCAAATTGTGCTTCATTTGTGACTGTTTCTAAAATTTTTTGCAGCAAAGTCAAGAATCTCAACTTCACCTTAGTGGAAACTTGGAAAGGAACTCTTGGGGGCAACAACAGGGAGTTTCATTGATCTGTGTCTCTGGCTCATCTTCCTACCATTACTAAGATGAATTTCTTCCTGTATATCTACACTTCTATGTATTGTATTGTTTTCCCTGGATAAGTCTAATTTATATAGTTGAAGAAGGCAAGCTTGCAAATAAATAATTTGAATAGGCTTTTGCTAACCACCTTGTATTTAACAATTTGTGTGCATGTGTGTGGCAAGAGTGCATATGACTGTACAGACGTCTATAGTCCAGACACTGGGTGTCCTAGTCATCTGCTTTCCATCCAGCAGTATGATATAGAATCCCTTAGAAAACCTGAGCTCACTGATTGACCCTGGCTGGCTGACCACTGGGCTTCACCGATCCTCCTCTCTGTCTCACCAGCACTGGGATTACATGTATACACTACCATACACTGCTGTGTCTCACAACTTCAAAAGTCCAAAGGTAAAACTCCAAGTCTTCTTCCTCCTGTTTCCAAAGATACTTCAATTATCAGTGTTGGTACTTAGTACAAGTCATGAAAGAGGTAAGGAAATACAGATTTGCAAGACTCTAAACTTGAATTGCAGTAGAAATATTTTATATGTACATGACCTCTATAAGAGACTCTAAGGAGCAGCCTTAACCGATGTTTCTCAAATATGAATTACAATGCAATTACCTAGGGTTCTTACCAAAACAGATTCTGATTCACATGGAATCATCAGAATCTCCTCTAAAGTCCTAGAAATAAGCGCCTTAAACAATAAGGAAACTCCTCATTTAGTTTCCAACTAAGTCAACTGCTTACACCAAGCCATGTAAGATCACTCAGAATTAAATAGGACACCTTGAAAATACCATGTTAGAAACTGTTACCTAAAGAAGGAAACAGTTGGCTTAAAATAATTATGTTTGCATGTCTGCTGGCTCTGATAATATGTGGGGAAAGTATTACAACATGGAAAATCAGCAGTTTGAAACAGTTATCTCCTTCTCGCTCACACCGCCTCTCTACCTAAGCAATGCACAGCTAACTTAGAAATACAATCAAACTGAGTTTTCTATGTCGTTGTATTAAAAGCATAAACAACCACAGCATGACTTTGCCAACTGCTCACGAAGAAATATTTATACATTGCCTGGCTGATATGTAAATATATGTCAACTTTTTGATTTATGGTTATAGATTAACTATTTACAAGCACAGAAACACAAATTATGTGACATTAATGGTTTGAAACAAAATATTCTTGACGGGAAACAAATCTGAGGGTAAGTAAAACACAGTCTCACAATTAGAAAAGAGCTCAGCTTCCCACATGTGAGGCCAACTGTTTTCTTACAACTCTAAAATGAAGCTATGCATCTAGGCCAAGGGTTTCCCACCCCAGAAAAAGACTGAATTTAACAGTTTACTTTACTTCTCAGCCAAAACTTGAGCATGTCATTTTGCCCATAGTCTAATTTGAAAAAGAAAAAACAAAAACATCAGTTTCCTGTTTTCTTGAGGACAGAGGGGAAAATCTCTGGTCTTACTACTAAAATTGGGTGTTTAAAATGGGAGTTCTCAGTCAGAGACAACTTTATCTCCCTTTTGATATTTGAAAACTTCAAGAGATACTTTTTGTGGTCACAGTCAGGGGGCAAAGGAGAGGGGGCAGTGTTGCTGGCACCTGGGTGGAATAGCCTGGGGACTACTAAACAAAGCACAGAACCCTCCTGAGATCCAAGGATCTTCTGACCTACACATCCAGGATGGTGCTGAACTTGAGAACTCTGACTGGAACCACAGAGCCTGCAGAACACAGAGAGAATTCCCTTTCTGTGCGCTGATTACATCTTCAGCATAGTAATAAATACTACATGGTCATTAAATACACTATGTGGGATCTTAAGGGCTATATAGTGATGAAAAGCAGGCATTGTGATCATATTCATGATCACTCTTCTTGAAAAAACTACATAATGCAGGCATGGTCAGAAAAAAATAAGTTTGTTTTGAATTTTTTTTGTTGTTTTAAAAGTCATCTATTCCAAATTCTCTAAGTTGTACAAACTGTCATTTGGAAGGCATTGCTCGCTGCTCTGACAGGACAGTGCAGAGGGACAGGGACAGCCTTCTAAGCCTTAAACAGGAGGGACCTTCACAGGTTTATTGAAATATCAGTTTCTACAGTTGCCTTTCTGAGAGTACTGATGCTCCATTCTTAATAGGCTGAAGTCTTTCTCTTATAAATATTAAAAATCAATGTGGTATAATAAGTGGTATTTCACAAGCAGGAAACAAAATAAAATGCAATTTTCAAAACACAAATCAGAGACCTCCGTGGCCTCCAGGCATCTGTCCTCCTAAAATGTCTGAGATTTAATTGTCCTGAGAAATCCTCAGTGGCCTCACATCTGAAACTCAGGAGCTGACAGTCACAAGGTCAAACATACCCTTAATCATGGCCTCAGCTGCACACAGATCTTGTTTGTAGGTCACCTAAAGGACAGATAAACCTCATTAGACTCAACAGAGCAGGCAGGAATGTGAATGCAGTAAAACAAAGCCCCAAGGAAATTCTTCCCTCTGGAGAAACTGCACACACCACCCAAGTGATTTCCAAACGCAAGAGCCGTTAGATGGTCACATTAAATCAAATTCAATTTCAACAAATTATGAAGATCCGAGTCTTATATTTTTGACTAAGTTATGATAGCACGTAGCAGTGGTTACTCAAACATGATTACCAAAACTGGTGTTTTATAGTCAAAGAAAACGTGTAAGCGTTCAAACAGAAGTACTCACACTACTGTTGTATAAGATTGCACACTGGAAAAGAAAGAGGTAAGGAAGAAAGGGGGAAGAGGGAGGGAAGAAGGGCTGGGAGGCTGAGGAAGGAAGAGCATCTCCAAATAACAAAAGCTGACCAGCTCCATTCTAAGCTGAAATTCTCAAAAACCGATTTACATTTCAAGGGACTTCTGAATTGGAAAGGTTTTTGTGAGACAGGTTAGCTGCACCTTGTGAATTTTTTTCTTAAAAACACAGCCTCTATAAAAAGAATCTATAGGGCACCACAGTGTGCCTAAGGACAATGATGTACTTTCCCTAATAGCAAACAGCTTGCTCATAATTCCACTCTGCTTGTTGTAAAGTAACCTTCCATGGTATGCATATCTGGTCTATGGCAGATCTTCCCAAAGGCCATCCTGAAAATACAGAACACCTGCAAATTGCCACCTTGTACCGTGGAACTGGAACATACAATGAACAATAAAACAGTATCAAGTCAGTTCAATAAGGCTCAATGGATCATCATTCAAATGCCCAGTTGATTAACAATGTCAGTGGCCTCAGCCTTCTTATGTCAACTTTTCACCTAACTAATCCCTTTCCAGAGTGTCAGGTTGTTTGTGCTTTGCTTTGTTTCCTCTAAATGATCTCCTCTATGGATTTTACAGATGTCTTGTTTAGCTCAAGGAGATCAGGGAACTTCTATAAATGACATTCCTCTGCTGGGTCTTTACCCTAGCGGAAGGTTGAAGAGCTGCAGTAACAGCAAACCCAGAAAGACAGATGGGACCAATTAACGAACCTACTAAAATCAAAGATGACATTACTATGCCATCTCTAAAGAAAGTACAACTCATGGTTCTCTGTGATTCTCAGTACTACTGTTACTCTCCACAGTACATTTCTGCAGTCTACAAAACAAGGACAAGCTCAGTCTATGGATTTGCCAACTGTGAAGTTTCCAATTCCAATAAGTGTTTACAAAAATTTTTATTAAGTGTCCTGCCCTTCAGACTACTAGGAGCAGAGCAATGGCAGGACCCATTGGAAACTTTGACCTCTAGGGACGCCCCTTTAGTCAAGGACTTCTTGTGAAACAGAGTAAACCTAGTTTTGAACTATTTCTTAATTTCAGGTTAACGACATATCTGAATATCAAACTAACTAATACTTGCAATTTAAATAAGAAAATAATTTGTATAGCCATTGTCTGTTGTATAGCTTAAAGTCCAGTCAGAAATCAAGAGTATACCTAGCTAATTCACTTTCCATTTTCCCCTACTTTGAGTGGTAAACTATATTCTAAGTTCAAATTAATATTAATACTGGACATATAAATCCATGTAAATTTATCACCAAATACTAAATTAGTGTTCAGAATTCTTTAAACTTCAAGCACAACAATTACTTACGAGTAAAATACATGTTTTTCCCTTAATAATAATAGCCACAAACTAGATCTTAAAAGCCCACTAAGTTTATTTCTACTGTCTCTATCGTATAGGTTATAGATATCTACACAAAGATGAATGATTTTTCTTACTTAGATTAACATATACTATGTGGTTAGGAACAGTTTTACAGCCAGGCATAGTAGCACTCACCTATAACCCCAGCAATTGAAGACTGAGGCAGGAGGAGGAGGAATTAAAGCCATTGTTAGTCTACATGTGATTTGCGGCTTCTCTGAGCTATGAGCTACATACCCCAATACTAGCAAGGGGGAATAATCTGTTTCTTTCCTAAATAAAACAGCAAATGTACTTCAAAGGAAATGTTACTGGAAACTGTCATAATTTTGTTATTCACTTCGCTAACTTTTAAAAAATGAGTTGTCCTTTCCTTATTTTGAATTTACCGAAGCATTGTGACAATTAGTTCTGAAGTTGACTCTCAGCACTTCTCAGCCTTGTGGGTAAGATCAGAATTGACACTGAGTTTCATCCATCAGCACAATCTGTACTTTTCCTTTGACCTTGCACAATACCCAACTATTGAAAACAATTACTCTTTAAAAAACCCTTGGAGTGATGGACTAACAAATTGATGTTTTTTTTCACTGACTGGTTTTCAACCTATGCTCAGTAGAGACCCTGGAGCCCTCTGGAGATCGATGAGGGCGGTCTGTAAAGGGAGATTGTGGCGAGGTTACTGTCACTCACCTAGAACAGCTCAGTCATGTCTCCTTTACATGTGCTATCTGCAGTGATTCCCCTGAGACGTGTGTTTAGCTAAGGAACCATCAACAGAAGAGAAATCTGACATTTATACAAAATTACTCTCTCAGGCATATAGGACAGGTTGCCCTCAGGTCCCAACCTGCACTTCACCTGGGAATACTACACTTACCTTTCACTCATTTTATAGGGTAAGGCACAAGAGACCTTTTTGCACCTAACCAAGGCACGGTGGCCCCAACTTTCCTTGAGTTAAGAGTACATTATACTTGAAGCTCCCATAAAACAACATCATAGGATAAGGGAGACATTGTCCCAATACTTGAACTAAAAATCTGTTAGCTAAAAGATACAGAATATTTATTAGACAGAGATGTCAAGTCCAGTGTGAATCCAAAAATGGCAGTTTTTGCTTAGCTCTAGTGGGGCTACAGAAGGACTGCTACTGCTCACTCTCAGGACTCCTCAGGTTTTTATCTGCCAGAAAGAGCCACTTTCCTATTAGCATGTAACTATGGTGCATAATAGGCCTGCAGAGCCACTCCCCTACTTTGCAGCTAAGGGTTTTTCTTTATAACTCAAGAAGCTTGCCTCAGTTTCCACTCTTCCCTACTCCTAAAGACATATCCCAGACCATGACCAGTCTTTCCCTCACCTCTCTGCCCCAGAAAGGTAGCCATGGCTGTGTGAACTACCCTGAAGGCCTCTGGCTATTTTCTTTCTCATATCTATAATAAAAGCCTTCCCTATCATGGATTGATCATTTTGATGAATTCTCTGCACCCTTGCTTACAATGGGTATTTTTGAACTTCATTTTCATGTTGTCAGTTGAGAACACAGAAAAAATATTCTTTTCCTAGGAATCTAATGCGAATTTACTTGCAGCCAAGAAGCCGAAACATCCTTACCTGCTGTTGTTCAGAGGCACCAGAGAGACTCTCTGCCTTTCAGGGTCCTTTCTCTTACAACTGTAAGGACAGTGCACACCCTCACAGGCAGCAGAAGAACCCCCACATGATGAATCTCTCTTACCTTCCAGAGGTCAGGGGACCCTTCTACAAGTTTTGCTTTCCTGTGACAGTATTTTAGGGCCAACTGCAAGCACTCTGTTCCAAATTCCAAGTCAAAATCACTACACTGATGACAAAGGAAAAAAGAAACAGACATAGAAGAATTAACAAACTGCAATTCAATTGGTGAAAAATAAAGCCAAAGAAACAAAGAGCCTTTTGTTTTACAAACAAGCAAAATATAAAGGAATCAGTCTGAGAACGAGCAAACTGGTTAATTATCTCTGGTTGTGTTATAGAATAATCCTTCCCGTACCCTAAAAATGAAGTAAAACAACAGGCTAATAGGAAAGTTATAACATCCCTAGAGATCAGGGCTCCCTCGGGTGTCTCAGGAGCCTGATCGTAACAATATTTATTTCTGTTGTTCATACTTGAAATTAGGGCTAAGGAATTGCCACATCCAAATTCTTCCTTTAACAGACACATCTGTAAGATTCACATCCCCTTCTATTTATAACACGACATGAAAACTTCATAGCTATTACTCATTTTAAAATTTAGAATAACAATATATCATTCTTAAAGCATTTATATTTTTATGAACACAAAGATGGTCCCATTTTTCATTGTATAGAAAAACATAAACTTGTCATGCTCAGTAAAACATAAATAACTGTATTTGTAAGTGGGACCATCAAAATCGCTACGCAATGATATAATTCGGCAGAAGCTCTGAATTGTGTACCAGCTACATAAAGGTAAATAACACATGAATCATGTCCTCAGCAGAGCTCCAGCCAAGAGGGGAGCTTGACTTCAGAAACTGGCAACAGAATGTTGCCTGCTGTGCTGGAAGCAGGTGTGTCTGCAGGGAACACACTGAGAAAAATGATCTGAGCTTATGAGGTTATCAGGAAATGCCTATCAGAGGCAATGGTCTCTGGTCTCCAGCTTAAGGAATAACTGGAGGATGAGGAATACTATGTAATAAAACTGAAGCCTTTTAAAAGTAAGAGAAATGAGACTCTCTTATTTTACAAGTGTGTGTGTGTGTGTGTGTGTGTGTGTGTGTGTGTGTGTACCTATGTGTGAGGAGGCTTAGGATTAGGGTTGTAGCGGTGGATTCTACATATCTGAACTCAGGTTCTTAGGTGTGTATGATGAGTACTTTACCCATTGAGTCACCATGTAAGGGAAACAGCAAGGACGCATAATAAATAATACCGCATTCAGCAGAACTTCCAATGGTATTTTAATCTTCTGGAAGACTACACAGTCCTAACTGTAGTAGCTTCGGAAATTAATGAAGAGAGTATAACCGAATATGCAGAGTCTCTATCTCACCTGAAGAGTCACAGCTCACATCTATTTTTATGCGCTATGTGGAAGATTTTCTAGGGATGTGTAATGCAGCATCATCAAGAGTGAGATTTGATAAGCTAGGAGGGATTTTGGTAGACTTCTGCTTTGTATTTTCAATGTCTTTACAGTATTGCCTAGTACAGGAGATGTCTATACAGGGAAGAGCCATCCTCTGATTAAACCCCAGTAATCCAGCCTTGATTTCTCCCTGACTCATCACACAAGACCATGAATGCTCTTCAGCTAGCCTTGCAGGTGCTCACAAATGCATAATGAGAAAAGCCATAGGATGAGCTCCTTTCTGCCTCCAGTAGTGATGGGAAGCACACTGGATGCTATGCTATGCTGCTGGCTATGCCATAGCTAAGTTTGTGGAACACAGAAAAGTGTCACGCAAATATATGTGAAATTTATTCAGGAAACACAGGCCAGGCTTGCTTAGAGACAAGTCTGTAGTGACAATTTTGGAGTTTTGGTTTCTTTAAAAACACAGAAATATTATAAGAATGTGCTTTTGTTTTAATACCAAGTGTGGTAATATGGGGCTGCTTTGGACTATCCACAACTGCTGACTATGATTAGCCTTGGGCTCTAGCAGAGGCATGGTTTTGCCACCTACAAATAGTTCTGGCAATTGTGTAATGTTTGGGATGGTGGGAAATTTTTAGAGTATATATAAATGCTAGAGTTCTGATAGGTGGGATGGGCAGTTGTTTGTTGATTAGGAAATTCAGTTGCACTTTGTTAGTAGCCATGGTCAAAGAAAGAAAGAAAAAAGAAATTAGATTAAGAGATATTCTCTCTCTCTCTCTCTCTCTCTCTCTCTCTCTCTCTCTCTCTCTCTCTCCCTCCCTCCCTCCCCCTCCCCCTCCCTCTCCCCCTCCGCCTTCTCCTCTCCCTCTCCTTTCTATCCTTTCTCCCCTACCTAGTGTTAGGGGGTAAAACTGGGAGGATAAAGGGTGGAAAAAGAAGAAGAATGCACAAAATAGCAAAGACAGATCATACAAGTCTGGACTTATTGTCAGATAGATTCACATTATAATAGTAATGGGGTTCGAAGACATTTAATAACACAAACATTTCTTTTAAAGTGAGTTCAGGATTCTGCAATCAATGAAAAATCTGAAATTCTGTTTTTCCAAATATTGATGAACTGATTCTTTTTACTAAAACATGAAAAATGACAAGATACGAGACACATATTTGAGCAAAGGAAAGACAAATGAAGCACCAAAGGGAAGTTCTGTTCTCCAATCTGCCAGAGCTAGGGCACATTCTGAGGAACCTTCAGATCGTCTGCAGTAATGGCTGCTTTGGGTCATGTTCCCACCACTAATGTCCAAGAATCCCCTTTCCCCATCCCACCACACTACTCACCTCCTGGCACTTTGGTAATGGCTGTCCTAGCACATGAGAACTCACTTGTCTTCATATGAACAGCTCATTTCTGTCATAAAGCTGCCAACTTCACTTATACCTAGAGCTCCTTTGCAACGTTCACTTCTATTAGCAATCTCCATCCTACGTATCCCTCTTACTCCCCCAGCCCCACACTAAGACCTCCTGTTTACCTCCCTGAGGCTTGAAGACCTGTGAAAACTCCATTTGCTTTTAATTAGGAAAATCGCATTTTCTTAGACTGCCCTCATCAACTAGTAGAGCATGATTAAATGTCTGGAGAGATTTATTACTAGGAGTCCAGATTCCTTCCTCTATTATCCAAATGTTAGGTGTTCTTTATAAACTCGGTCCACAAATTAACCATGTTGCCAGCAGTGGTGTTTGTTGGTAGTCTGTACATTTATCATGTGTATGTACACATATTATTAAGAGTCAAAAATCTTCCAGGCATGTTGGTACATATCTTTAATCACAGCACTCAGAAGGCAGAGGCAAGCAGATCTTTTTGCCAGCCAGAGGTACATTGTGAGACTGTTTTTTAAAAAAAATCTCTGCAATGTTTAATGCAATAACCATCCACCCATTTTCCTATAACTTACTTTGTCTCCCATTCTTCCAAGCGGACAATCATCACTGGCTGTAATCATTAATGTGTAACAGTCAGCCTTTGCCCACTAGCAAATATGTAGGAAATCTGTGATCACTTAAAATAAACTTACTCATCACACAGTTGTAGGGTGACAGAGATACCATCCTTCTAGCTATGGAGCTATGGGGTCTGACTCATCTGTTTACTCTAGTGACTTAGACTGGAGGAACAGCAAGTGTAGACTTTCTTATTACTGTGGTAATGGCAGCACAAGCGACAAACCCGAGAGTGCTGGCATGTTGTCAGCCTCCACCTGTTACATCCAGCAAGATCCCTTTGCCCAATGCAAATCAGACAGACAAACACAAAATTGAGAATGAGACACTTTGCCCAGAAGAGTTCATGGCAATGGTACAAAAGTCAGGAACTGTTTGTAATTAATATACCTGTGATGTGGCCCTTAGTTTTTTGTTTTAATTACTATCTTTTGAAAAGAAACCGTATGTCTTTTTCCCACCACAATATGTACCCCTGCTTTCCACTTTCCATCACTTCAATTATCAATTCATTGATATTACCAATACTGAGCATTTACATCATCGACTATGCAAACTTTTCTCACAGATAAAACACATAATGCTAAAAGCCCTTTCCTGAATAGGTTTGTTTCCCCTGTAATTACAGCTTGTCTTTGTTTTATGCGGTTAACTTTCTATATACATATAACTCTTTTACACTGCACACTGGGCTACTTACCCACATCTATTTTCAAGATATGCTAAGACTCATGAAATAGTCACCCTTGGGATCTTCCAGTCATTCCAACAGGGACCATTGTGCTTTCTGACAATTCCATAGGTATCATTCTCAGATGCTATGTGCCATCTTAGGGACATTCAAGATCTCTCTATCATTCACCCCAGCCTGTATATGCCTGGAAATCTTCTTTTTTAATTGACCCATGTTCCCCAAAACAAATCTCCAAGAACTCCCTATGGAGAGATTGTGTAGAGATGTGTGTGAAGACATCTGAGATGATACATTCAAGACTTTCCTCTTAAACTGGACAGACTGCCCAAACAAAACCATTCCAAAGCCAGAATGAGAAGCCACTAAGAGGCTAGCCGCTGGGACAGGGAGCAGGGCTGGCTCAGTCAGTCGTCAGTATGCAGAGGTTCTGCCTGTCACTGTTCGGAGTGCACCTCAGCCCTCCACTGCAGGCAAGTTCTGCTCATCGGACTCTTCCTAGAGCTGACTTCTTTACAGACTCCTTTTAATAAACATGTACTTTTCTTTCTATTCTCAGCTCTTAAACATAAAGGGTTCTTTGCTCACTGTCATTTGTTGGGAATCTTGTCCTTTTACTGAGAACCTGTTACTAATTCACCAGCTCTCTAGCTAACTTTCTTTCGTTAATGACACTCTTCTTATTCTTGATCTTAAGGACTTATGGCAAGCTGTCTTCATCTGTGTTCTCCTGAACGATGTTTAAGTAGTGAGCAAAATTAGATAAGTGTCCAGTCAGCTATTGGTCCCTATAAACAGAAAGTGATTGCACATTAGTTGCGTACATACTCCAAAATGTCATCTATAAAGATGGCATCCACTCATATTCCTAAAAATAGCATGCAATTGTAGCAGGCTTTTTTAACATAAAATCAAGAACTTGACTAACATGAACTCAAAATCTTGGAAAAATGTGTTGTGCATAATGTAATTATTTTTCTGGGAAAGGAAGAATTCCTTAATTTTCAGAGGTTTTATACCCCCCC